CCCACCACCACCTGCCCCCCCACCACCACCTACAAAGGAAGTGGCAAACCAAGTCCCGACGTGGGGTTCCTCCCTCTGCCGTCGGTGGCACGGTGGCACTGTGGCACGGTGGCACGGTGGCACTGTGGCACGGTAGCACGGTGGCACGGTGGCACGGTGGCACTGTGGCACTGTGGCACGGTGGCACGGTGGCACTGTGGCACTGTGGCACGGTAGCACGGTGGCACGGTGGCACGGTGGCACGGTAGCACGGTGGCACGGTGGCACGGTAGCACTGTGGCACGGTAGCACGGTGGCACGGTAGCACGGTGGCACTGTGGCACGGTAGCACGGTGGCACGGTGGCACGGTAGCACGGTGGCACTGTGGCACGGTGGCACGGTGGCACGGTGGCACGGTGGCACGGTGGCACTATGGCACGGTAGCACGGTGGCACGGTAGCACGGTGGCACTGTGGCACGGTTCCACGGTGGCAAGGTGGCACGGTGGCACGGTGGCAAGGTGGCACGGTGGCACGGTGGCAAGGTGGCACGGTGGCACGGTGGCGCGGTGGCACGGTGGCACGGTTTGTACGGTTTGTCGACGAGAATCCGGTGAAGATCGGGGGGCGAGCCGAGGCAGCGACGCAGCGGCTGAGTCGTGGCCGTGGGGCACATGGTGCTAACGAGCTCACGACTTGCGCCCGCGGGGCTGGCACGATGGGGGCGCAGCAGCAGCAGCAGTAGTAGTAGCAGTAGCAGCAGCAGTAGCAGCAGTAGCAGTAGCAGCAGCAGCAGTAGCAGCAGCAGTAGTAGCAGCAGTAGTAGCAGCAGCAGCAGTAGTAGCAGTAGTAGTAGCAGTAGCAGCAGCAGCAGCAGTAGTAGCAGTAGTAGCAGCAGTAGTAGCAGCAGCAGTAGCAGCAGTAGTAGTAGCAGCAGCAGTAGCAGCAGTAGCAGTAAGCAGCAGTAGCAGTAGCAGCAGCAGCAGTAGCAGCAGTAGCAGCAGTAGCAGTAGCAGCAGCAGCAGTAGCAGCAGTAGCAGTAGCAGCAGCAGCAGTAGCAGTAGTAGTAGCAGAAGCAGTAGCAGCAGCAGCATTAGTAGCAGTAGCAGCAGCAGCAGCAGTAGTAGCAGCAGCAGTAGTAGCAGCAGCAGCAGTAGCAGCAGCAGTAGCAGAAGCAGCAGCAGCAGCAGAAGCAGGAATAAAAAGGGAGAGACGGAGATAGGAGGGTTAACGACTTTAAAGGGAGCAATGCAGTGAGAGAGGTGGGGGGGACAGGCAACCAATAATGACACTCGCTCACTCAGTAACACGCTCACTCCCACACTCGCCCACCCAGACAACCACCCAGACAACCACCCAGACAGCCACTCAGACAGCCACTCAGACAGCCACTCAGACAGCCACTCAGACAGCCACTCAGACAACCACTCAGACAGCCACTCAGACAACCACTCAGACAGCCACCCAGACAGCCACTCAGACAGCCACTCAGACAACCACACAGACAGCCACTCAGACAACCACTCAGACAGCCACTCAGACACCCATTCAGACAGCCACCCAGACAGCCAGACAGACAGCCACTCAGACAACCACCCAGACAGCCACTCAGACAACCACCCAGACAGCCACTCAGACAGCCACTCAGACACCCACCCAGACAACCACTCAGACAGCCACTCAGACAACCACTCAGACAGCCACCCAGACAGCCACTCAGACAGCCACTCAGACAACCACACAGACAGCCACTCAGACAACCACTCAGACAGCCACTCAGACACCCATTCAGACAGCCACCCAGACAGCCAGACAGACAGCCACTCAGACACCCACTCAGACACCCACTCAGACAACCACCCAGACACCCACTCAGACAGCCACTCAGACACCCACCCAGACAGCCACTCAGACAACCACTCAGACAGCCACTCAGACAACCACCCAGACAGCCACCCAGACAGCCACTCAGATACCCACTCAGACAACCACTCAGACAGCCACTCAGACACCCACTCAGACAACCACCCAGACACCCACTCAGACACCCACTCAGACACCCACCCAGACACCCACCCAGACAGCCACTCAGACAGCCACTCAGACACCCACTCAGACACCCACCCAGACACCCACCCAGACAACCTTCCAGACACCCACTCAGACACCCACTCAGACAGCCACCCAGACACCCACCCAGACAACCTTCCAGACACCCACTCAGACAGCCACTCAGACACCCACTCAGACACCCACTCAGACACCCACCCAGACACCCACCCAGACAGTCACTCAGACAGCCACTCAGACAGCCACCCAGACAGTCACCCACTCAGACAGTCACCCACTCAGACAACCACTCAGACAGCCACTCAGACACCCACCCAGACAGCCACCCAGACAGCCACTCAGACACCCACTCAGACACCCACCCAGACAGCCACTCAGACAGCCACTCAGACACCCACCCAGACACCCACTCAGACACCCACTCAGACACCCACTCAGACAGCCACCCAGACAACCACTCAGACAGCCACTCAGACAGCCACTCAGACAGCCACTCAGACACCCACTCAGACACCCACTCAGACAGCCACTCAGACAGCCACTCAGACAGCCACCCAGACACCCACTCAGACAGCCACTCAGACAGCCACTCAGACAGCCACTCAAACAACCACCCAGACAGCAACTCAGACAGCCACTCAGACAGCCACTCAGACACCCACCCAGACACCCACTCAGACAACCACTCAGACAGCCACCCAGACAGCCACTCAGATACCCACTCAGACAACCACTGAGACAACCACCCAGACACCCACTCAGACACCCACTCAGACACCCACCCAGACACCCACCCAGACAGCCACTCAGACAGCCACTCAGACACCCACTCAGACACCCACCCAGACACCCACCCAGACAACCTTCCAGACACCCACTCAGACACCCACTCAGACAGCCACTCAGACACCCACTCAGACACCCACCCAGACACCCACCCAGACAGCCACTCAGACAGCCACTCAGACAGCCACCCAGACAGTCATCCACTCAGACAGTCAGCCACTCAGACAGTCACTCAGACAGCCACTCAGACAGCCACCCAGACAGTCACCCACTCAGACAGTCACCCACTCAGACAACCACTCAGACAGCCACTCAGACACCCACCCAGACAGCCACCCAGACAGCCACTCAGACACCCACCCAGACACCCACCCAGACAGCCACTCAGACAGCCACTCAGACACCCACTCAGACACATACTCAGACACCCACTCAGACACCCACTCAGACAGCCACCCAGACAACCACTCAGACAGCCACTCAGACAGCCACTCAGACAGCCACTCAGACACCCACTCAGACACCCACTCAGACAGCCACTCAGACAGCCACTCAGACAGCCACTCAAACAACCACCCAGACAGCAACTCAGACAACCACTCAGACAACCACTCAGACAGCCACTCAGACAGTCACTCAGACAGCCACTCAGACAGCCACTCAGACAGCCACTCAGACAACCACTCAGACAGCCACTCAGACACCCACTCAGACAGCCACTCAGACAACCACTCAGACACCCACCCAGACAGCCACTCAGACACCCACTCAGACAGCCACTCAGACAACCACTCAGACACCCACCCAGACAGCCACTCAGACACCCACCCAGACAGCCACTCAGACAGTCACCCAGACAGCCACCCAGACAGCCACTCAGACAGCCACCCAGACAGCCACCCAGACAGTCACTCAGACAGCCACTCAGACAGCCACTCAGACAGCCACTCAGACAGCCAGCCAGACAGTCACTCAGACAGTCACTCAGACAGCCACTCAGACAGCCACTCAGACAGCCACTCAGACAACCACTCAGACAGCCACTCAGACACCCACTCAGACAGCCACTCAGACAACCTCTCAGACACCCACCCAGACAGCCACTCAGACACCCACTCAGACAGCCACCCAGACAGTCACTCAGACACCCACCCAGACAGCCACTCAGACAGTCACCCAGACAGCCACCCAGACAGCCACTCAGACAGCCACCCAGACAGCCACCCAGACAGTCACTCAGACAGCCACTCAGACACCCACCCAGACAGCCACCCAGACAGCCACTCAGACAGCCACTCAGACAGCCACCCAGACAGCCACTCAGACAGCCACTCAGACACCCACTCAGACAACCACTCAGACAGCCACTCAGACACCCACCCAGACACCCACCCAGACAGCCACCCAGACAGCCACTCAGACAGCCACCCAGACACCCACCCAGACAGCCACTCAGACAGCCACTCAGACAGTCACCCACTCAGACAGCCACTCATACAGCCACTCAGACAGCCACTCAGACAGCCACTCAGACAGCCAGCCAGACAGTCAGGGTGTGTGTGTTGTGGTTGTGGTGGGGAGCGGTAGTGTAGTGGTT